ATTGTAAAAACTCCTCACCCCTTTTAATGAGTCTTTAATAGGATTCCCATTTCACATTGCGAATAAAATGGAATTGACTGAAATCAGTAAAAAGAGAGACAGACACTATTTTCATTGTATAATAAAATGCATCTATGTTCCATGAAAGCTTTTAAAAATACAAGGTTATAGAATATCTTTCAAAGTTCATTACAAACTGAGCTAAGCCCCAAAATCACTGTTCATTATTCAGTAAATTATGATGTTTGACAATGCAATGTGCTTGAATATAACGTTGCAATTGCAAATCTCTCTAACGCAATTTTCCCTACGTTAGAAAAGCTGTTAGAAAGTCTGAGTTCCTCTTTCTTGTTTTGTAGGCTTGCCAAGGATTAAAGTTTTTGTGTCATTACCAGTGTCTGTGTTCTTTGTTTTTAACTCAAAGTAAGTCAGTAATAACTGACAGTATCAAAGAATTGCTCTCTAGAAAAGTAATTATCTCCTCGTCATGTCTGGAAGTTACCTGTAACAAAAAAGAAATGGAATGTTAACACATGCAAGGGCAATATGAAAAAAAGAAATAGAACATGTAGACTCAGCTTCTCTTAACATATTTTCATACTGGCTTGCTGAGTCTGTTAAAGGTCGCAACTAATTGTCTGAGGCTAATTTCACAAGAGTGTGCAATTGAGATAAATGCATGGTAAATAAAGTGAAAGAAACGTGGTTTCACATTAGCCAATTTACATTGCGCTGTTCGATGATGTTAACACGCTTTTCTACTGCGAAATAAACCTTTGCATTTGGATTTGCAAGTCAAGATTATACCGAGTTTGACTGACACTTAATTGAACAACAGTTTCATTTTTAAGCAGGTAAGGTGTAGACCCATATAAAGCCGGAATATGTAAAGGAAACTCAGCGAAAACTTTTTCGCATCTTTTTGTGGCGATATTCTCTCACGGCCCGTCAACTGATTAGGGGTTGCGAAGAAAAAATAAATTAGGACCAAAGGTTAAAGCCTGTCCGGTTACATCATTTCGTATGTTACCTAGTGTTCTAATAAATAGGACATAAAATAGGATTTAACGAGTGCGAATTTGTTTCTCAATCGGTGTATAAAAAAGTGAGGCTATCAAATGAGAAGTTTATAGAGTATCAAAATTATTAAATTAAAAGCTCATATAATTAGGAAAATTCCTATACGAAAATAATGCTAGTGACATTAAATTGATCAGATAAAATTCTCAGAAAATATGTCGAATAAAAGCCTCATTGTTTGCTTTTGTTTTTGCGTAAAGGTAAATTTTTCGGCCCACAAAGCAAAGTTGAAAAAGCGACTAAATCTTAGTTTTTTACATTGAACATGTTTATTAGCTTAGTTTTCGTCCGTTTTAAAAGCTTTATAACCCAATCATAATTTAATCATAAAATAGTACAAAATCATTTCAAAAACCATGTTCATTGAAAGTAGAGCCGGCAAACGTGAACATTTTGTAATTCAAAAGTCGGACCCAGCCAGGTTGTTTAAGCTTAGAATTATTTGCATTTTAGCGTCCTTTAAATTTACCAGAATCGCCTCTCAGAGGCTTACTGTAGCAAAGCATTTTGTAGTACACTCGTAGACTAGCAATGTAAGCCTTAAGTCTTTGCTTGGATGAGATGTCCTAAAGAAAAATTAGTTTTGTGGACCTAAACGCACATTCACAGACTGCTTATATTGAGTTGTTTACAACTTTGCATTTGACACACGCGGCATGTTCATTTTTTTAAAGCGAAATCCAAATCTGATTTTGGCATTTGATTTACGGATATTTTATTTTGTCTCCAAAAGTGATTGTAATATCCGTTTGATTGTCTTTCAAACAACAGTCAAACTATGCAGCAAAAATAAGTAATTTTACCAGTACAGTGAAAAAAATATGACCGTAGGTGCCAAAAAATAATTATACTCGAGCTATAAAATTAGATCTGACTATTTTTAGCTTTGGTTTCTTATTATTGAAGTTTTCTCTAGTCTTCTTAGCAGCAGAAGAAGATTACAAGACATACAAACAGAAACAATCCGAAGTGAACGAGATGACAACCACTTATGCCGGAGTTCTTAGGCATGCTCAACAGCAAGATAAACTGAATGCCTAAAGGCTAATTCACGGGATTTGTTCAATATTCAGGCTTTTTCTTTTCCAAATTAATACTAAATTTGTACTTACAGTCTCTCGCAGTCGGCAGAATCCATTTCTTGTTCAGCATTCACCAACATCTCAACCATGCACCGCAGAAAAAAAAGACAAACAAGGGCGAAGAGACATGACGACATCGTGACGCCACAACTACCACACTACAACAAACTAGATTCATCGTCATCCGAAAACACTTCTGCGGAAATTCGGCCGATTTCGTGCGTGCTCGGGGTATCTTCGGATGACGCAGATGATGTTGCTCAAAGGACTATCGTCAGCAAGGAGTAAAACAGTTTGCGAGATTCGCATAGCCGACAAGGAGCGCACTGAAAAACTAAGCAAAATCTCTCTGAGAAGGTAGTCCAAATTCACCAAATCAGAACGTCTTTGCAGTATTAACGTCGTACTCTCGTACTGACTTGAACGACCTGGTAAGCTTAATTTTCACCAGTCTTTTAATGCTGTTGGCCGGGAAACATTCCGACGCCATAAAACTTAAGCATGGATAAGTTCATACTGAGAAGATTTGTTATCTTATTGTTTAAGACGCTTTTCCCCGATCAAATTTAAATCTGGACCCAGGAATGTCAGTATCGGTTTGAAATAAAAGGATTGATCTTTGATTGCAAGTTAAGTATTCTATTTTATGCATGAATAATGAGTGTTTTGTTGTGCTTTTTATTTATAAATCCAGGCTTCTGTCTTCAGTTTTGCCAGTCGATTCCGTGACACACATTGTTACAAACATGACTTTTTTTGTTATAATCTGCATTTATTGCCAGGCATGAAACCTTTAACTTCAAGCTCCCTAAGATATATCTGGCGATTATATGTGATTCTCAGGATATGATGCTGAAGCGAACATCAAAATCAGTCTCGCTGGGCATGCCATTTCTTGCCTGGCATGCCGGGCATGCCAAACCAAGTGGCTTCACGATCGGCATGCCCGGCATGCCAAACCAGAGGAGCAAAAACTGGGAATGAATGATCAACCCGGCGAGAGATCTGGGACCTAAGGTTGGCTGGGTCAATTTTGGGCTGCGAGGGCATGAACCCATTTTTTCCATGCCTATGAGATGTTATTTCTAAGTACCAATGTTCCCTTGAATTTTGTCATGCCTAAATATATAAAATTTTCCCTCTCTCATTAATCCTCAGACTGGATGCGATTTTTACGCTCGCTAGGCATGTTCAACTGAAAATCATGCCCATACCCTTATTCAAAACAAAATGCTATCAAATTTTAGTTTCCAAGCCGTTTGGGAGCGAGGTCAATTTATTGAGTTCATATCTCCCGTGAGGAGTGAAATGATGTGAAGTATAGAAAGCATTCTTCACTTTCATCTACAACCGCAGTTCAAAATGAATTATTTCATATATAATTCACATCATTTCACTGCTCACGGGAGATATGAACTCAATAAATTGACCTCGCTCCCAATGTATGGCTTCATAGCTCAGTTGGTAGAGCAACGCACCGGTAACGCGGAGGTCACGGGTTCGAATCCCGTTGAAGCCCTGATTTTTGTTTTCAGGCTTCTTCTTTCCAATTGCTTAAATTGGAAAATTTACTGCGATGATCATTCTTCACTTTCATCTACAACCGCAGTTCAAAATGAATGACTTCATATATACTTCACATCAAGAGATGGTCATTTCAAGTTGTTTTGATTATTGACCATAACCTTAGAAATACGAATAGTCAATTGACTAATGACGACTGGTTCTTTTAATTGTCCATATGCATGATGATGTGTGAAACGTGGCTTGCTAATTTGCCTAGTGACCAGAAAATTTGTTAAAGCACCAAACTTTCAACGAATTTGGTTAAAGAAGTGAAGTCATTAGGTTATTAAGGACCAAGGACGTTGCGCATGACCCGTGATAGAATGATATCCATACTCTGGCCTTGAGTGACACACATCTAGCCCTGCTAAAAATTAGCTTTAATTTGATATCAGAATGCATGATGTGCACTAGAGTAGAGGGGGACCTATAAGATCCAAAAATTTGACTCCGGGATTTAAATTGCCTAAGTGCAGACGTCTCCTATTTCCTTTGTTGCACGCGGAAAAGGGACGTCCCTTTTCCGCGTGCAACAAAGAAAATAGGAGACGTCTGCACGCAGGCAAGGATTTAAACTCTAAAAGGGCAAATATGATACCGTATTTAAGGATGGAGACCCCAAAAAACCTTTACCGGCTTTCGGGCAGCACATACCTATGTAGCTGATATATAGGAGTACCCCCATCCCCCCCCCGGGCCTTCCCTAGTTTGGCCGACTGGCCCTTACCCTCCGAACTGTCCTGCATGAGTGGCCCCGCCAGAGAGTTTAAGAGCACAACCGCTCAAGGGGATCGACAGTGCGACACGTGAACAGCCTCACCACGATAAGTTCCCATAACAGGGTGGTATCGTTAACGGGTTGCGGCCAAAAAACCCTCAAATGTTTTTTTTTTCTTGAGCGGAAAATTGAATCAGGTCTTTATTTTCTAAATTTTGGGAATTCAGTGAAATCAATATGAAGAACTCTTTGAACGAAAAATAATAATAATAATAATAAACTAGGGCTCTTTTTTCACACTTCGCCAGGGAAGCAAACCATCGCTAGGGAACCAGAACCTCATCTTTAGAGGCTAATCAGCATGATCAAAAGTGCTTTAATGTGTACGAATTCAGGAGCCCATGCATAACCGCTGACGCATTTTAATTTTATACTGAAGCTTGCTGTTTACGAGGATAAAGAATATCGAACCCAAGAACATGTTCTCTCTGTATATAGAATTAAACTTTAAAAGTGTACTATTTATTACTTCATTCTGTTGATTTAATTATCCAGATGTGACAACACCAACTTGCAGTTTCTGTCCAGGTGATATTGTAAGAGAAGTACCCAACGCAAATGAAAGGGTATCTTGGAAGGACCCCAAATGTTCAGACAACTCTAATGTACCTGCCGTCATCACATCCAACTACCCGAACGGTAGACTTTTTAAGGTTCCTGGAACATATAAGGTTCAGTACTTTGTGACTGGCAAAAAAGGAGACGTTTACAAGGGATGCTCATTTAATATAACCCTCACGTGTAAGTTATGTTTACCGTTTACTCGGGGTTTTAATTAAGCAGCGTCTTTTTTTGAGCGACGGAATCAAGCGAAAGTGGACTTTTAGCACTCTTCCGTGAGATCTCTACAAATGTGAGGGCAAATCGTTTCTTTAGTAAGGACTATGCAATACAGATTGGGTAGCGTCAAGGCATATCAAACGAGAAAAAGGCTCACTTCCGGTCGGTCGACGTGAGGTACTGGCCAGGCCGTGGGTTGGTGTATGTGTGCCCCTTGCCTTAAGTTGGTCTCACTTCCGGTTGACGGGCGTCGCTCAAAAACGTCGCTGCTTAAGTTCCCTGTTTACTGAATTTAGTCGCCTCATGGTAAGTGAACAATTCTTGCAAGGACCACTTGGACAAACACCAGCGAGGGAAAGCCGGATCTTGTCGTAGATCAGGATCAGCAGTATAAAATAACACTTTAAACTGAGGGCAAGGCTGATCGGACAGCTAAGGGTTATAAATTTATTTGCCCATTATTTCGACTAGACAAAACTAGTCTTCATCAGGAGTTAGATAAGCTAATTAAGTGATCCGGATTCCGAAAATTCCGGGAAACGTCTGCTTGTGGAAACTGGAATGCAGGGTTTTTTGAATCCGTAATTCAGCTCAAGGAAACCGTAATCCAATTTATTTAATGGATTGGAATTCGGAATCTAAGTTCCACTCAAGAAATTCGAAATCCACAGCATGGTATCCAGAATCCAAGACTGCCTTAGATTACGTCAGTTATGACTCGAAAATCTTGACGTTTAAAAAGACTAGGGAGTGGAAGCACTAATTTTGAATTTTTTTCTCGCCCTTAATACAATTGACAAGGACTCATTACAATATATAACCTTGGGAAATGCCATTAAAAAAGAGCTCCTGAATTTAATTACTTTACACGTTTGTTTATCCACACGGAAACTGAAGTTCGGGTTAACACTAGGTAAAAACTACTCATCGAAACAACGCATTTCTTCCTTCACTTTCTGTCAGGTTATATTTTGGGTAGCCTTAAGCCTGCTAGCAAGCTCTCCTATTTGGGGCGAGCTGCGCGAGAACTCGCTCCCCGTTTTCGCATCTCCTCTCGCGTGCCTCTCGCGCGTCTACTTTTCACGATATCCCCCAAATGGAGAGCTTGCTCGCAGGCTGGGTAGCCTGTGTCGCAGGCGTAATCTAACCCCGATATAATTCTTTAGAATTACAAACTTTAGCCTCAAGTTTTATCATTATAATATTTGGTCATTATACGTTTCTGGGAAACTGCCCACCTACCCTTCCCCTAAGCCAACATTTTGCCCTAAGTGAGAAGCAAGTATTATAATGCTGGCTTAGGGGAGGGGTAGGTGGGCAGTTTCCCAAAAACGTATAATGATCCTAATCTTTTACTTGGGGATGGACCATTAGAAAAGTGATGGGGTGGGGGGGGGGGGGATGGGGATTTTAAGAGATGTAAGAATTTTTTTTGTACATGTAAGGTGCAAATATATTTTTTCTCCTTAGTCATATATTTTTTTGGCCAAAAACCGTAGGAATACATTTCTTTATTAATAATTTCCTGGGGAAAAATTTTTTTGCGTTTGCCCCACCCCCTCTATTACTTTTCTAATGGTCCATCCTGTATTATTCCAGTGCCCAAATGCCCGATGTATGACGCTCCTGAGAATGGTGCTCTTGTTTGCCTGAACCGTGACGCCGATGGCTCTGCTTCATTCTGTCAAGTGGCTTGTAAAGATGGCACCGATTTCAACTTCGATCCACCCTTGCTGTACATTTGTGCTGGCCCCGGTTTCTGGATGACTGAAATTCTTCGTAGAGTCAATCAGCTTCCCTGGCCAAATTGTTCCAGTAAGTGATTCATATTGTAGTTCTAACACTTACAAAGCTTACTTAAGACCGCCTCATTTCTGGGTAAGTACTATGGTCAGCAAGAAGAAAATATGGGACATTCTGTGTCAACTACCCGGGCCCCAGCCATAGTTTCCAGGGTCCGCTCATACTCGTACCCCGGAGCGAGAGAAGGGACGAGTCGAAGAGGACCCTGAAAACGCGGTTGCCTAGCCCTTTTATTCATAAATTACCATAAGTCATGTATATAGAGTAGACCATAGTCTAACAACATCTCTTTTATATTTCCTCCAGTTATTTCTTCCTGCTGTAAAATACGTTTAGATATTTAGCCCATGTTCACCCCATCTCTCTTTAAGATTAAGCTTTGAATACTTCGACATTATTGTATTTTAGTAATATGGTTGTTTCCTTGTAATTGTTAATAGGCGGTGAAGGGTCTTTTTTTGTTTGGATATTCTGTAATCATAAGATGTTAACAGTGCAGTCCACCTTTCACACCGAAGCCAGTTACAGCTGCATTTTCGGCAGCTTAGAACATTTAACTATATAAAGGGACAGGTAGGATCAACTAAATGATGTGGGTCTCTCTTCAATTTTCAGGTGGAGCCGGTCCTTCGATGCAGGAAAGAAATGGATTCATGGAGTTTTTCTTCAATGGCAATCAGACTCATTCTGAGATCGTGACCACATTAAAGCAAAATCTTTTGACCATTGCAAAGGGACCTAAGGTTCTCCCAATCTACTGTCTTCATGAAGCCTGCACTCCTCAGAAAGTTCAAGTTTATCTTTCCAAACAAACATAAAGATTGTCACCTAACTTTATTGATTAGAACCAGAATAAAACGTTACAAATAGCATCAAAACTGAACGATGTGATCTGTTTCTCTGATCTCCATTTGAGTATATCTTAAACACAAGAAGATGAAAATCCAAAAATTAAAGTACTTTCGATTTCATTTTTAATTAACCCCCCGTGTCTTAGATATCAGAGGAAATCACTTTTAAATGATGACAATTATTCTTGTTTAAATCAACATGAAATTTCATTTCGTTCTCAAACCTTTGCCATTTTTTTTAAAGGGCACTTTTTAAAAAGATTTTGTCAACGTATTTAGCACAAAAGTACTAATTGAGGACACTATTTTTACGTCTCCAACTGGAGACGGGACTGACATTTTACGTGGTCATCCGAGCCACGCGAAGGTCTAGCCGCTTGCAGTGCAAAAGGAGTATCTCTATTTGTCAGTTATTTTAAGACCCTAAATATTGGTTCTGCCCCGTAAATCGAATCCCTGAAAAAGTCGGCAATTTAACTGAAAGAAGCCGGTTCTGCCAGGTAATATTAACCCTTTTAGCCCTAAGATCAAAATTTGAATTCTCATTTTTTGCCCCTATTCATTTCGTACAGAAGTAGTGGGGAGAAGTTGATAAAATATCAAACAATTTCGACTTGTGTGATCTGTCTGTAATTCTCATGACCACTCTGTTTTACAAAGCATTGACATTACAAGGAGAAATTTGATGCTGATCACTCTTAGGGCTTTTAAATGGGTTAATAAAGAGTGGATTTGTTTCAGTTCGATTTTATGAACGGAACGGAACGGTCCTTTGATTTTTTCTCTGTATCTCTTTATCTCTCTCTCTCTCTTTTCACGTCATTGGTTCCTTCTTTCGGTTTCTAATACTATTCTTAACTATTTCCTTAAGGGTAGACGACGAGTAGTCCCCCATTTTTCCTCAGGGACAGTACAGCGGCCGAAACGCGGGCGCTCGTGAAGATCACCCCACGCGAGAATAGGCGACACCCGGTGGGGAGAGAGAAGAGGCGTGTCGTCTCTTCTCGCGCGGGGTAAATTACACGCGCGCTCGCGTTTCGCTCGCTCTACTATCCCTGAGGAAAGATAGGCGACTACTCGTAGTGTAACTTTAGGGTTGATTTCCAGTGTGCCGTAATTTTTACGTGCGTAAAATTTACGTTCGCAAATAAAATAGAGGTAATGCATGAAAGGTCGCTCGTAAGCGTAAAAGTTGAACCTCGCTCAACTTCTCGTTTGAGCTCAGCACTTTTTATCTTGCCTCTATTTTATTTACGTGATAAAAATTTACGTGCGTTAACGTGTTTTGCAAAAAACGCGTCAGTGGAAGTCAACCTTAAGAGTATTTTTTCCTATATCTCTTTGCGAACGAGAGAGCGCGGTTCATTTGTGGCTGCCCGCGAAAAACCCAAGCAGCTATACTTTCTTATGTTCGATTGCCCAAAAACCCCTGTCCTTTATGTTTTCTGTCATAATGACAATGTAAACTGAAACAAGCTTTCAAGTTTTAGTAATCTTTACGTCTTTAATGCTTTATGCTCAACAAGCCAAATCATTCTACTTTTTCTTAAGCGTAAACGAGGATCTCCAATAGGATTCTTTGATCCCTCAATCCCGTAATCTCAGTGGTTATTTTCGGTATCCCGCATCTCGTTCATACTTTCAATCCCGAATCTCACCTCCATTTTCTTTGAAATTCCGAATCCCGGCCCTCAAATAAGGCAAAACCCGGATCCCGAAATATTAAAAACTATTGGGGACTCTCGTTAACATAAACAAAAAACAATCAGACATGCACAGCGTTACGTTTTATGCACCTGCTTGAGCAATTAATTTGGAACAGAAACATTTGCATATTTACTAGTTAACTTCTTACGAAGCCAGTCAACCAGGTTTTTACACTGAGCTTCAGTAGATATGTCTTTAACTTGATGTTCTTGTTTGCAAAGCCTAAGAAATGTTAAACCATCAGAGAATCAGTCCTATATATAAAATGTTTGCGCAATTAATTGGAACAAAAACATTGGCATATTTACTAGTCGGTTAACACCTTAAACAAAACCAGCCAACCAGCCGAGGCTTTTTACAGCTTGACTTGAACTGAGAATCAGCCAAATGACACCAGTATATATGAAATGTTTCGAAACATGTTTGGTTTAGCTACCCGGAATCTAAATCTGAGCACTTCAAATTAAGTAACTGGGATTAGGCTACTGCATTACTAGGTTGCATAAAACGTTAAATTGAATCCAGCATAGCAGAGTTTGAAATACGTAAACTGACGATGTTGCGATATTGTGTTGAGAAAAACAGATGCCAAAATGTCTCACATGATATCTTCTTGAACGTTTGTACTTTTGCTTCACCTTTTTGGTCGCTACTGTCAGTTTTGGTTTTTCCCACGCAACAGCATCGTCTAAGCTGGCTGTCTAGTCCCTGGGGACGAGGTTGTCTAAGCTGGCTGCTATCAGGCCTGATTTCCCAGCGCAACAATGTCGTCAGTGACTTCGGACAGCTCACTGACAGAGAGTTCAGGCTCATTTGCCTCTCGAAGCTTTTTGGCTTCGCGGTATTTTCTAATGATTCTAATGGCAACCATTCCCAACACTAACAAAGGAATATAAGCCAATATATCAACGAACACCCGCAAGCCTGACCAAGTGCTCTTGAACATGCCATCAAAAGGAGAGCTGAACAAGGCGATTAGTGTGAGGGTAAACAGGAGGGCGGCATCTGACTTATTAATCCAATCGTAACTCTCCTCATCTTCCTTCACGTCCTTGGCTTCCTTGTAAGGCCTCAAGAACGCAATAATGAGAAGAATCAAAACACAGCAACTCTCCAGCAGTGCTCTCTTAACTGGACCTGAAGATACTAGCGTTGCAATGGCATAAATGACAAGTCGGGCGAGAAAATAGAAGGCAGCACACCAACGATACCGATCCTTGAAGCAATTTTGTAAGGCATCAAATATCGGCTTCCACCTGTTGAGATTTAGTACCGGGCGGAGACGCTGCGTCAGGAAGGGTCGAAAAAGAAGAACCATAGGAAACGGCACCACGAACAATACGATAAACAGGATGGCCAAGATTCCGTAAGCAATGTGTTTTCCAGTGAAAAAGCCGATGTTGCCCTGTGAATACATCACAATTTTCGATCCAACCGAAGCGGGATTCAGGATTCGGAGTGAAATTCTTGTTATGTCAGTGTAGCAAAGCACAACGATGGTGCAGACGGCGCGAATAGGAGCGGCTCTAACTTTCTTGCTAAAGCACCAGTTGGGATGGTAGCTTACAGCTTGGGCTAACAAAACTGCCACCACCAGGACGTACGTCGGTAACACATACATTATCGCCAACTTATCTGCGTCGTCTAACCCTGCGGCAAAACAGATTCCACCTGAACCTGTTTTGAACTGGAAATTCGCCAGACCAATGATGAACTCTATAAAGGGATCGAATGCAAATCCATCGGGAGTTATTACCTTCATGACCTGATACGCATACAACCAGGCATTCAAATATCCCGTGAAGAAATCAAGATCTATCAGCATGATAAACATAACTACGGCAATAAGGATTAGTCCATATAAAAGCAACAGTAGCAAGTACCAGTTGGAGCACGTAGCGGAACAATGTTCGCCTCCAAAAAGCACAGTGCGATTGGCTTTACATTTTCCGCAAAGTATACTTGACTGATCCCTCTCGTCCCTGCACACATCACCAGAAACAAACTTTATTTCAGGCGCACGAGCCACGGTCTTGCAGTATCCAGTAGGGCAAAAGTGAGTGACGAATTTGTTATTGACTGTCCCTGCCCAGTAACCATGTTTCAGGTAAAATGTCTTTCCGTCCGATTTGCACCTAGAGATACCACGCTCTGTAGAGTCCCTGCACACACATAACGAGCCTTTTTGCTTAAAACCAAGATTGCAGGGCTTAAGTGAAAGACCAGATATAGTTTGCGTTAAAATTTGCTTCCCCATATATTTCAGCTCTACCGAGAATTTTTCTCCCGATTTTCCAGCCATCGCGAGATGGGAAATGGTATCATTTGCAACGAACATGCTCGAAGCAGAGTAAAGACTGACCTTGGATGACTGATGGAGAGGAATGACTTCCACATTAATGATGCCCACGACAGAATTACCAAGCTCGTCTAGAAGTCGTACAGTGGCATTGAAACGTTCACTAGGGGCAACGTTCCATTCTGCAGTTTCATACTGTATGTCTACAGGGTCTGTGGCGACCTCGTCCTTTAAAGAGCTACGTTTGCCATACTGGTCCTGAAATTCAACAAATTTCCATCGAAGAACGGAGTTATTTTGCCGAGGTTCACCGATTCGCCGACAGCCTCTCAATGTCGTGACAAAGACCGAATTCCCCGCAGACGAAAACGGAGCTTGGTTTCCCCGAAAGATCACCTTTGTTTTCCAGTCATCAAAATCTAATGAAGGAAGCGCGTAAGCAAAGAAACAGCCATGAGTGTTTGTCCCTGTTGCGTTAAAACCGACCAGTGGAGGCCCGGGAGCATCAATATATAAAGCACCTCCTTGGCCACCGGTATCACACTTGTTCCCTTGAAAAAGGACGTACGAGTGTTTGTTAAAAATAATTCTGGAACGTCCGTACATGGCCATGGCGCCTCCTCTCAATCCTACATTGTTGATGAAGTAAACATGATCGTAAATTTCTACTGTCGCCCCGTCTAAAGCAACAGCTGTCTTAGAATTATCCAGAAAGCTCATATTTCCACGGAAAATAAGAGGCACTTCAACGCTATAGAGTGTCCCTTCTCCAATTGCCACAAGGACCCGTAATCGGAGCACATGATTCCTTAGAAAGGTGCATCCATTAAAGCTTGTATGGTATGGAGCCTGTGGACCAATCTGATCTTCGTTCTGGTTTTTAAGAAAGGCTCCAAAGGCTGCACCCACAGTCCCTGTGTTGCCAGTCCACCGGCACCGATTAAAAGAAAACTGAGTTAAATCAGCATCTGTATGCTTGGCACACTTTCCCGGTATTGACGATCCGAAAATTGATGTAGCACCACCCCAAACAGAAGTATTGTTTACAAATAAGCAGTTGTGTACCGTAAATAAATTGAGACGTTGTTGGGTTTCTTTTATTAAATTACTCATCCGTAGACCACCGCCAGCTTGATCCCCCGTATTGTTCTCGAACTTTGTGTTTTCTACCGCAAGACGGTTATTTTGTGTTTTTTCGCCCATCCAAACATTCACACCTCCACCCCAGCTGGCTCGATTTCCACTGAAAAGGCAAGAATCTATACTGATGGTCGATCCACTGGCATTTGAACGAAAAAAAATTGCCAAGCCACCGCCACGGCTAAAGGGTAGTTCTGGTGTGTCAACGAATTCAGCTGCAATACTTGCATTCGACCACACAGCCTCGTTTCTGAGAAAACTGCAATTTTGGAAGACAAATGTGTTGTTGTGCTGATACGAGTCGTGTTCGGTTGGAGTAATGTTGACGGTGTTGTGGCCATAGGGATCTAAAGCCAAATATATACCTCCTCCTGAGTACACTTTTTCTAACTGTTTGGTGTGCAACCTTTCTTCATTCCACTTTGTCTGAGTATTTGCTTTGCTTCCGTTGTCATTCGCAGCTCTGTTGTCAACAAAGACACAATTTGTAAAATTTATAACACCACCAACATCGTAAAAGTTAACACCAAGCCCTGGAGAAAACGAAATTTTGACGTTAAATAGTTGAACATTCCTGCAATATCGAAAATCCAAAGCAACACGGAATTTAACTCCATCTAGCCCGGTGTAAGGCTTTGGAGCTTTGACCGAGCTCGTGCGCCATCCACCACAATTCTGTAACGTGACTCCTTTCACGGATATATTGTTGCTAAGAACAAATGATAGACTTGCGTTGCCTTTGCAAATTATTTCTACATCGTCTGGTTTTGTTCCTTGTCCCCACAGTCCAAAGTTGTTTATGTGTTTAAAACTGAAGCTATTCGCCAGCTTGTAACTACCTCTAGCTGCTGATATCTGCGTGGAGTTTGCCCCTGTTTGGCGAGCGCTTGAGATCGCGTAATCTATTGTATGGCACGGCGAATCGCTACTTCCACAAGATGGTTTATCTTTGCCTTTTGGTGAAACGTGAATTGTCTTGTCGAAGGCGTCCGCCAGCTGAACAGCAACAAACAGCAGCAAAATAACTTGGAAAACACGAAGAAAAGTTTCCATCGTTCCTCAGTGATTGCAAAATCCCTCTTCGACGAGTTCTATTTCCATGTACTTCGGTTTCGATACCTGGAAAGATTGCGAAATCAAAAGCCGTCACGAAGTTTTCCCGTGTCACGCACGTGTAGTCTAGGTTTGAGTCACTTCGTTTATCTATAAAAAGAACGTTCTTTCAAATATTATAAATTCCCTTCATTTCGTGACATATTTGGAATTTTTGAGGAACAGCAACAGCTGTCGCGAAATTTTGACTTGCGTTACGCAAGTTAATAATAGAGACATGGATGAAATATCGCACCTGAACACAGGGTCCAGAGGAGTTTCGTGTGAATAAATGAATCAACTTATTTAAAGTCGCACCTTGAAAAATGTCTATACCAGTGTCGCTTAGCACGATTAATTAGCCCAATGGCATCTTTATAAATCTACTGTAAACGATGATCGACTTTTGAAAATCGATGACTATGGAATGTGTAACGAAACCGTAACGTGATCAAAATAACCCATTTTTTCGGAGGTTTTCGACGGGTTTTGATGTTCTAACGACAAACAAATCTCCTCTGGACCCTGTGACCTGAACATAAAAGTTAAATTATTTAATTTATGAGCGAGAAAGACATCTGATCGGATGCTGGGGGCGGGAAAATAAGAGACCTTTACCGTTTTACACGCCTTTGTTTCTGTCGAAACGATTCACCTGACAAGACTGGAAATAAGCAAAAACAAAACTGAAAACAGAACGTTGTCCGCCACTTTTAATTAGGGACGGACCATTAGAAATAACCGGAGGTGGGGTGACAATTACCGCCCCCCCTCCCCCCCACAAAAAAATCAGTCCTGTTAAAAGTATAGGATAAGGGGGGAAAAGGTAACAAAACAATTCAAACAATTCATTCAGAGAATTGAAATTCTTAATTTGTGCTTCAGTACTTTTATTTGAAAACAACTGTTTGATATTTCTTCATACAACAAAACAAATAGGAATGAGCTTGCTTTCTACACAGTCATCATTACCACTTAAATTGCCATCGCAAATAATTATAATAAAAAAATATCTCTCTCCAGATATAAAATGTATTTAAAAATACTTTTGATAGAACATTAAGTAATATAAGAAATATAACATTTTCGCCATTAAAAATGGAAATTTTCAATAATTAATGTCAGTCAAGAGCCATAATACAATAATAGGACACTGTCCAATTATGTTCTTTTGATGACAGTATAATTTTGTTTTAATATGAAACACTAACATCAAAACACAAAATGTATATTGGATGCATTGAAGTGCCTCTGTTTCTTAATATTTGAATACACTCTTTTTTTTTTATAAGAATATATTTTATAAGAATATCGAGGCTGAATTTGCGAAATAAAAATATTTTAAGAATAAAGCAAGGCAAAAAGAATAGATATAATTTTGTGTGTTGAAACATCTGTAAATACAATACAAATGTTTTTAACTTCACCGTATAAAATTATTCCTTTCTCTGAACGGCGAAACTTTAGCTATAACAAAATGTTCAACGCTAATTTACATGAATATATATAGATATACCCCAATAAATTCTAAAACGGAAATGTCATAATTTAAGAATAATTCAAGAATATTTTCAGCCTAAAATCTGAAAAATAAGAATATTCAGCCTGGGCCGGAAAAACAATATTCTTAAATTAATAACACCCCCAACAATAAGTATCTGACAGGGTAATTTTGGTTTTAATATGAAATTGTACCAATAGTCAAAACAACAAAAATACTGGATCAATTGAAGTGCAGCTACTGCTTTGTAACTATTGGTATTCTGGCTCAATTGTGAAGTGGAAATTTCAACCAATAAATAACAGTATATAATTTTTTATTTCCGAAACAGTAACGACGGACAAAAGAACAAAATATGTGCACCATATTCCAAAATGGCAGGTATTCTTTTGTCTTATAATATGTTAATTGGCCCTCAATGCCATGTTTTAACAGGGGTAAGACCGTAAAATTCCGAAAATAAGCCCCTCCATGTATAAGCCCCTCCAAATATAAGCCCCGCAAACCGGTAACGCAAAAAAGCCCTCCGTTAAATCGCCCCTCCAAATATAAGCCCCCTGGGGCTTGTACTTGGAAAATTGCCCTCAAATACAAAGTAAAACAACTGAGCAAAAACGGTAAATCTACTTCCAACTATGAGCCAGGCTAGCCCAATCGATTTTGAGACGCAATTTTCCTCCGTAGATACGCCCCTCCGAATATAAGCCCCTCCAAAAATAAGCCCCTCAAAAAGGGCCTTTGAAAAATATAAGCCCCGGGGCTTATTTTCGGAATTTTACGGTAGTCTTTTTTATTTCTGCAGATGCAATTGAGGCGCCAAGGGCGAATTAACAGTAATGAAAAAGTAATTTTACTCATGATTTTGGGATAATCTGTATTACACAAAATGAAGAGCAGCTGCCAATTTTCTTAAAATTGTCCCTGGATTAATTTCGAATTTGCTTTTTCATATGCTAATTTATGACAAACTAAGTCAAAACAAGGATAGATATAAAATATTAGACCAAGGATAAAGTTGAACCACTATGCCTTTATAAGATACTTAAATAAAACCACACTGTATGGATAGTCAAAATTGACTTCACGACTTCCGAGGATCTCATCACTCTCTTTGTGGCTCTTCTTCAAGCGCTTGTTATTTTTCGTTGTCCTTAGTGAAAAACACATTGCTTCCATGTTTTTCACGATTTAATACTGTTAAGAAGAAAGGTGTGGGGAAAAAATTCCTACAAAGCTTGTGCCTCAGAAGAAAAAATTGCAGACAAGTGGGCTTAAAAGAAAAATTCATGCACCGAAAATTTTTCACCCCCCGCTCCTGTTATTTCTAATGGTCCGTCCCTTAAAGCCTACAGCCTAGTTTATGACGTAATTGAGTTCGAAAATATCTGGTTTCAATCGTCTACACCAATTCGCAAATCTGTCTGATTATAAAAATCCACCCTGCACTAGCCTGGTCAGTTCATATGCCGGGAAAATTCCAGACGATCAGGGATTTTACTTCTTGCCGACCGTCTCAGATTTGCCGATATTGATCGGATCTGAATCGCCAGAAGTCTGTCCCAGATACTCCCGATATTGAATTTGGCGGTAAGGAATGGAAAGTGCGCCAAAAATTGAAATTTGTATGTTGTACACCAATGTATGATAGGGAGACTGGATCCCAACGATTTAGAGGGTTGGTAATCAGCGAAATCCATCGCCGACTTCTCCGACGGTACAAATTTCAGTTTTCATTTGTTGGGAATGATCGCCGACCATCGCAGAAATCTGGGACGTGTCGGGAAAATAGAAACGCTCTCGATTCTCCAGATTTGTCTCCGTCCATCCTAAACGATATATGCGATTTCGAGTTTTTAGTGGGCAAAATCTGGGACAGTCGGGAAACGGTAAAATCCCCGATCGTCTGGGATTTTCCCGACATATGAAAACCAGGCTTAGGAGTGACATGCCGAGTTTAACTGTGTTTTGTCGACTCTGTTCCCATATGGAAATTCTTGGAGGTTACATTCCCGGGGTGGGTGGGAGGGGGGTTTCTCCATAATGGACTACACGGGAAGCAACCTCGTCCCCAGGGCTTTTCCCTCAAAAAATGGGTGAGGGAAAAGCCCTGGGGAGGAGGTTGTACGGGGAGGCCCAGCCCAAATAGGGATATCTTTTCAAGTAATACACTAACAAAATTGATTGCAGTCCGAAGACAGCTAAGGATTGGCAATTTATTTATTTATATCTTTTCAGGCTTCACTGAGGTAATTACGTGGAAGGGATTTCAAAATATAAAATTATATCTAGCCGAATTTATGAAAACCGCACCAGCTGGCTACTAAGTAGGCCACAGAGCCTAAGTTGACCTAAATAAAGTGAATATTGTAAAGAAACTCAGCTCTTACCTATAAGCCTTGTAAGGTAGCTCTCCTGATTAGCAAAGAAATATTCAAGTCCCGCATCAAAAAGACACTCTCAACTTGGCCATCTCTGTAGCTGCGTTAAGGCTCTACATGACAGAGGCAGCTTGAGACTTAAGCAAGCCCTAAGCAGAGAATTCAAGGCCATATCACCCCCCCCCCCCCGCTCCGACCTGACACGGCCCCGCAGCCTAGTACATGGGTGTGGAGAATCCTTTCATTGGCCAATCGGCCTGAAACATTTAAAGAATTTGCTATGACGACTTAAAGCAGACACATGATCAGTGAACTAATTCTCCAAAGAGACTAACTGAACATCGAGACCAACATACCACGCTTTTGCAGCAACCTTCCCCCTAGGGATTGACATGAAGGCCCCTTCCTATCCCATGGCAAGTCACCTCAGGGACTGAGTTTGATGATGAGACCAACCAAGACAGCAAGCTTCCTACGAAAATTCTCAACGTGCGAATATTCTGGGCCTTTTCGAGCAGCACGTTTTCAAAAATTCGGCTAGATATGAAAGAGTAGAAAATGGTAGTAATAGAGTGAGGGGCTGGGCTTTGGGGGAGGGGCCTCGGCGAATGAATATTTGGCGAGAAAACATATCCATAATCGCGGCAAGTTTGTGGAGTTCTAGTCTATAGAAGCTTACAGAGTGGGTGGACGCGGGTTCGATATCGATTCCCAAATCACAAAGGGTTTTAAAACAACAGAGAACCCAGAAAGGCACTGCATATGGCTCGGACGACCACACGGAAACGTCGGTCTCTTTTCCAGCAGAAGCAGTGAAAAGATCGTTTAACAGTGTCGTGTCCAAAATATGTGCTTGCGTGCTAAACACATTGACACTTGAGTTCGTGGGGGACACCTAATCATCCATTTACATTAAGCGGATGTCCCGGCGAAATGCAGCGATTGGTATCGACACGGTGTGCATGATGTTCATGAACTGGATTAAAATATTCATTTTATTCTTGTGTTTTTATAAGGCAAATAAATCATAAACAAAAGATCCACCCTGCACTAGCCTGGTCAGTTCATATGCCGGGAGAATC